AACAGAATGGGAACAAGAAACAGGAATGTTGATAGCATCAGGTGATGTTAGAATTATTAGAATCTGGGATACACAAAAAGAACTTAAAATACAGGTAAAAACTGAGTCAGCATGTATCACCTTTATTGCATATAACTTAGAAACTTTGGCTGCTGGATTGCTCTGCATTTTTGTTGCATAAAACAAAGGTATTCGAGTCAAAGTACATTGATATAAGTGTAATGTTTTTATCTTTGGGTTTTAAACACATGTTTGATATTCACTTCATATCTGCAGAAGATAGGCTTACCTTGCCCAAATGAACTACAATCACAAGAAGATTTGACCAACAGTCTGGATTTGATGGTCTTTCTCCAGTTTCTTCACTAATTTGTTCAGAGTAAGGTACATGACTGTCCTCATTCTATATAATCTATATAAGATGTGTCATTCTTTTTATCTTTTTAAATCAAATGATGAATAATCTATTCCAGGATATTCCCACTGGAGCTGATAGTTCTGTGACAAGTTTATCCTGTGATTCCAGTGGAAGGTCTTTAATAATAGCAGGTTGTGGAGATGGTACCGTCAGATTATTTGACAGAAGATTGGCTGCTCCTGAATGGTGAGTGACACTACAAACCCTGTTATCTTCGTAATATCAAAATATTTACTGCTGTCATGTTCCTGAAACTTCAAGTTTTTATTCCTTATGCATATAGATAATGTCAATGTCTATAAGTGTTTGTCTTGTCTGCGTAGTATCATAAAGAGTTGATACACGACCATGAGATTGTGATACACATATTATGGCCTGTCCTTTCACCATGTATAAATTCACCTATATATATATTATGCTAGCATAACTTACAGTCTTTGTTGTGTTATATCCTAGTCGAGTAATGACGTTACAAGAACACAGTAGTATGGTTTGTAAGGTTCATCTTCAGAAAGGGTCTGAGGGAAAAATTATCAGTGCTTGGTGAGTTCTGTTTTTGGTCACGTTTAGCTGCATTATTATTATTGATTCGACCAACATTTTCTTATTCCTCAGTAGAACGGGAAAAAAATTCAGTTTTATTCGTGGCATTGGTTTTCTCAATAGTAGAGATACAAGAACTGTTAATGACACACAGACTACAGTAGTTCAGTTGTCTGAAGATAACAATTGGCATAACAATTAACAACAAACCTTAATTTCTGTTTTTACAACCAAGATTTATGATACAATAAAAAAGTCAAAATATGAAATAATTTAATGTCTATATTTACAGTACTGGAGGGGATATAAAATTTTGGGATCCGAGATTTACAGAATCAGTAAAAGAATTTCCAGCTCAGTCCAATTTAACTGCCATGGAAGCTCATTGTAGAGCTGATGTCATAGCTTGGTAAGTCTTGCTTCTTCTTGAGGTA